GGCTCGGGCAGCCAAACACAGGCTCGCGGCCCGTCCATGGGCCTTTTCGGGCTCGGGCGAGCGGCCCGAAAAAATCGGGCCGGACGAGTTCGGACTCGGGCAAAAAATTAGATTTTTCGGATGGTCACGGGCAGCCCGTCCAAAATTCTAGCACTATGCACAATTACTATTCATAACAGAAATATCATTATTTGAATGAGATCCATCTACCTAACCTTTTTGTTATCTTGTGTGAGCAAAAATTCCCAAAAACGCCAAGATAAGCTATGACAATCTGTTTTTATAGCAGTCCAATAAATGAAACGCCAAATTTTCCTTCCACAAAAAAAAGAATAAATAAATAGAGGGGCAAAAATATTCAAAAAAAAAAAAAAAAAAAAGACTCCATTTTCTATAATAAAGTATCCACTTGATTTTATTTTTTTTAATGATTACAATTTCTCTTCATACTTGTGACCCCTCACCCGCCCTTTGTTATTTTTCTATTCAGAAAATAAAACTTATAGAAAATACAAGATCTTCTTATGTAAAGTATTGTTTGATAGTGACTTTAGGCTTATCAATATTTTGTAACGAGCTTCTCTAATGGCCAATTTACGCTGTGTAATATAATAGCTGTGTATGGCTATTCATCGTAAATAAATAAATAAAAGACATAAGAAAATATATTTTTCACCAAAACAATAAAAAAAGAAAAAGAAAATAAAAGAAAGAGAGTGCAATTGTTATAAACTTATAAGTTTTGGTTATTAGCTATATCCTTGAATCTTTTTCTCTTTTTGTTTTTGTATCGGTGGTTTTTTACCTTTCAATCCTTAAATATGTATTAGAAATTATTTGTTTTACATATTTTTTAATCAAACGTGACTATGATCAGATTTAAGGGTTAGAAATTGATTCTACCGATAAACTGACTTAATGAAGATTTTTTTTTCTAATCAAACTTGTTTTGTCCTAATTCCACCTGAATTAGTGGCCTTATGATCTCAATAATCTTGAGAGTTTGTAGTTCAAACAACGCAAAAATTTCAAAACTGAAAAATGGAAAAGATAAAAAGTACGGAGAATATATACTAATCTTTTAAAATTGACTTGGTAATGGTGGATTTTTTTTATTTTTATTTTTTGCCAAAGGGAAAAGGCATAAATAAAAAATTACGTATTTAAATAACTTTGAAGAGACAATGCATCTCTTACTCAATTAGTAAAGTGGGACTAACTAGAACGTAACATTATTTTGTTCGGGATAGCGAGTAACTATTATTATCCTATCAAATGACTTTATAACTATAAAATCGCATAAAGCTTAGATTTTTACATGGCACGTGTATTGCTAATAACATGGGAGAGATCATATAGTTGAAAGGGTAATTTTAATAAATACCACTTAAAAGTGCATGAGTTATGAATTTTACTTTTTATTCTTAATTTATAAACTTTTTAATTAAATAATTAAATTAATAAAATAGTATTTATTAAGAGTAATGAGTAAAGATACAGATTTATACACTTTAGGATAAATTCTCTATTTTTCTAGTTGAAATGGTAGGGAAGCCCATCACCAGACTAGAAATGTCATAACATGGTGGGTCTTCCTCACCTGTAACTGCACCCTCCGGTTTTTAATGTTTCATGCTAATTGGCTTTTGGTGACTCTAGGTATTGTATAGCAGGGAAAGTAATGAGTTTAGAAAAGAAATTGGTCGTTGATTTCTTTTTTTAGGACATGTCTATAAAATCTAATCTTGTGCCTCAAGTACCACTGATTGTAGTGGTAATGACTCTTTTATTAAATTTCTTATGTCCATCTTTTCAGGATTTGATACTCCATATCTGCGCGTTAAGTGAGCCTCCGCGGGCTTCACAGAATGAAAGAGAGTGAAAAACTAGTTAGATGGTCAGTGAGAAACCGGTTGGATTGTCTCTATCATCTTTAGAAAAATTTCTAAAGCCCACCAATAGAACGAAACGTATATGACCTAGTTATACTCCAAGTTTAGAACCACTTTAACATATATCATTATGATTTAAAGGCCGCATTACTCGCTGGCCCGACAAGGTCGTTTATATTAAGACTATCAAGATTTGAACTTGGATGATGACGGATGACGACATATTGAGAGTGGAGAAAGAAAAAGCATTTTTACCACAACACCAACTTAGCAATTTTACCACTTATTTGAAGTTTAACTTTTAATCTCGATAAAAAGAGATAAATACTTTTTAAAATATATAAGTCTTAGATTTTTTTTAAAAAGTATAAATTAAGAGTAAAAAATAAAAATTTTTAAACAATACGTTTAAAATGTGAGTTAGCTTGTTCTTTTGATGTTTTTGAGTTAAGTAATTTGAGTGTAGATTTTGAGTTGAATTTGAGTTATAATTTGAGTTGAAGTTGTAATTTGAGTTTGTGTTTGATTGTGTATATTTGAGTTATGGTTTGAAATAAAAATCTTTTTGAGTTTGTGTTTGAGTAAGTCAAAACTTAAATTTGTATTTAGATAGTATTTTAATAAAAACTCAATGCTGATGAAAAATTTTAATAGGGTATATGGGTGAAGTTTTATTCCTCTTTTCGTTGTCAACGCATAGAAAAAAAAATCATCTAAATCAGAATTAAAACAAAAAAGTTATAATATTTTTAAGAATAGAAAAAATACTGTTCATTAATTTGAGTTCGAGTTTCTGAACTCGAGTTGAAGGGAAAACTTGAACTCGAGTTTTAGTCTCAAACTCGAGTTCAAACTCAAGTTTAAACTCGAGTTTAAACTTAAAAGAACATGAATTCGAATAAAATTGTAACTCAAGTTACTTTTTTTGAGTTTTTCACTCAAAAGCACCCCACCCGAACAACCCCTAACTTTCTCGGACGAAGCCTAAACCCCTTGACTGGGCTGGGCCAAAGATGTAGGCCTTCTACTCAACCGGTGGCCGACCCAATCCAAAAGGGAACAGTCCCACCCGAATTTACACATCATCTAATGGTAAGCTCTCACATCATATTTTTCATATGTCTCGAAGACAAAGGTCTAGATTTCTGCAATTAAGCAGGATGAGTTGTAGACTATAAAAGTCTCTGACGCGTTTAAAACTCGTTCAAAAATAATTTTATTTTTTGTATAAAAATAATAATAAAAACATTTTTAATTTTAAATAGAAATTATTTTTAAAATGCATTTGATAATTTTATTAAGAAACTGTTTTCAGTGTAAAAAAATTTATTAATGTCTCTCTTTTTCTCTCTGCTTGAGAGATGAGAAAATGAAAATAAAAAATAAAAAACAACTAAAAGTTATTTTTTATTTATCTCTGATTTTACATTAAACTAAAAACCCATTTTTATTTTTATTTTTTATCTTTATTACGTCAAATTCGTTTTGAAAACGTTTTTATTTAAAAAAAATATAAAAAATAAAAATGAGATCAATTCTAAATACGACGGGCCTGTTTGTTACCTTTTTTGTTTTCATTTTTCACGTTTTTCGAAGCAAAAAATTGAAAACAGAAATGAAAAACGCGTTTGGCGAAGTTTGTGTTAGAAAACAAAAACAAAAACGTTTTTGTCGTTTTGTGAAAAACTGAAAACGAAAAAAATACGTTTTCATTTTCTGAAAACTGATTTCAGTAAACGGATTTCAGTTTTTTTTTTCTTCTCTCTCTTCTCCAGCCGAAGAAGACGCGGGAGAATGCCCACCGTCGCTCATCCAGCCGGCGTCTGCAACTGCGCCCCCCCCTGGCCGTCACTCTTCTCCAAATTCACGATTCATTTAATATATTTATTTAATATATTATTATTTAATATATTTAATAATAATATTTATTTAATATATTTAATATTAATATTTATTTAATATATTAATATTTAATATTATTATATATTCAATATATTATTAATTTAAATATTATTACATGTTTTCAAAAATTAAACCACCAAACGCAGTTTCAGTTTCTGTTACTAAATATATTTTTAAAAATAATTTTAAAATAAAAATAAAAATATTTTTATTTTTATGTAAAAAATAAAAATATTTTGAAACTAATTCTCGCAGCTTCTTACATCTTCCGAGAGTATTAATGTGTGGATAACGTATGAAATTGCCACGTCTGACCCAATTCAGTATATCCGAAAGAGCTTTCTTTGTCCCCATTCTTTCACTCATGCACTGAATGCGGAACTAGAACCCCCTTCCTTCCCCTCTTCTCTTTCTCGCATTTTCCTTTCCATTTTAACTCAATCCAATCAACTCCATCCCCCCAACTTCATCACAAAAACCCAGAATTCTTTGCCCGCCATCAATGGCTGCTTTACTATCTTCTTTGCAGACAACCCCTCTTCATCCACTTCACTCTTCTTCTTCCTCCTCCTCCACAGTGTCTTCTTCTTGTTCTTCTTCAATGGCTACGCTCTCGACCAGACCGTTGGTGAAGCCTCAAATCCTGAGTTTGACCTCCAAGTCTTCAACTTTCTTGAATCCGTGTAAGATTCTCAAGACCGTTTCTGTTGAGATTATGCCCAGAAACAAGTGCCGTGGAAATTTTCGCTCTGTTCGCATGTCGTGGGATGGTCCACTCTCTTCGGTAAAGCTGATAATACAGGGCAAGAACTTAGAGGTATTTGAGCTTAACTTAAACTGGGTTTATTTCAGATCATTGAAATATCTTAGACAAGTTCTCAGTTTTGGGTTCTTTTTAATTGTTAAATGTAAAAAAAATTTAATTTGTTTGTTGGAAATTGGATATTATGAAATTACAAGGCTTTGATGTCGTTTGAGGAAGGTACACTATGTGAGAAACGACATAGTACGTTCTCCGAATTTTGCATTGTCTAATCACTCGAAAAACTTACATTTTTTTAATTTGCGAAAGCAACTTATTGTTTTGTAATCCTGCATAATGTTCTCTTAACAATCCCTTAATCCTTTGAGGAATTTAATGTAACAAACACTATAAAGCCGTTGTTATTTATATGAGGCATCCTATTTCTTAATTCAGTTGACGGAGACAGTTAAAAGTCATGTGGAAGAAAAGGTCGGGAAGGCAGTTGTAAAGCATAGCCACCTAGTGAGGGAAGTTGATGTTCGGTTGTCGGTTCGGGGTGGCGAGTTTGGAAAAGGCCCAAGGATTAGGAGATGTGAGGTATAACCATATGTACATATTTTTTTATTGGTTTTGTATGACCATTGTGCATATATTTCAATGGTTTTGATGTTTTAGTTTTCTGTTTTCTGGGATTGTGGCAAATTGTTTATATTGTTGAGTGTTTGGTCCAAGTTTAGGTGACTTTGTTTACGAAAAGGCATGGGGTAGTCCGAGCAGAGGAAGAAGCTGAGACGCTCTACGCAAGCATAGATCTGGCATCCTCCATCATACAGAGGAAGTTGAGGAAAATCAAAGAGAAGGAGTCAGACCATGGCAGACACATGAAGGGATTCAACAGGTTAAAAGTAAGGGAGCCTTCGGCACCGGAGATAAAGGAAGAGGAAGAAACTGTTCCTGAGCAAACAGAAGGCAAAGAAACTGTTCCTGAGCAAACAGAAGGCGAAGAAACAGTTCCTTTACAAGAGGAAGAAAACCTTATTGATGCGGTAGTCACTTGACCTTTCTGGCTTAACGACATTTTGTTACATTTATTTTCTTTTGGTTTAATCGCCACATATATTGTTCATATTTGCCTGGGTAGGAAAACGTAAAAGTTGACTGATGCATTACTTGTTTAGTTGGATTCTATATAGTTCTTTACCTCAAATTATAAGTTGGTAACTTATATTTCTTCCTAATATCATGCCAACAGTCACAAAATCTAAGGTTGCATTGGATTTGTGAATATTAAAGGACAGTATTTGGATTTAACTATCTAGTTTTAGATTTTTTGGTGTGGATGGAAGAAAATTTGTTATGCATTGGAATTCTCGCTTTTCTCTGTTTAAGAGATTTGAAGTTCAATCTGAAATGTCATAATGTTTATTGAATATTCAGATCTGAATTCCCCCTCTAAAATCTGTAAATAGATTCAAATGCTAGGTTATGGTTTTTTTTATTGATGTACTCAACTGCGTGCCTTTGGATTCCCTTCCTCTCTAAAATCACTCTCACATTCTCAATGTTGTTCAGATTGTTCGCACGAAATACTTTGACATGCCACCTTTGACCGTGCCTGAAGCAGTTCAGCAACTGGAAAATGTTGATCATGACTTTTATGGTTTCCGAAATGAAGAAACTGGTAGAAACCCTGTCTATTCCTTTCCCTACTCGTTAATAATCTTGTCATCCACTGCTTGATTTTTCTATTTTGCTCCAGGTGAAATTAATATCATATACAAAAGAAAGGCAGGAGGATATGGGCTCATCATACCAAAAGGAAACGGCGCTGTACAATTAGAAACTACGGTGGTAGAACCAATTAGGGAACACTCAATGGCAGAATAAATGGTGCTGCCAAAGGAAACCCCTTTTGTAAAGCTATGTATGCCGCTCGTCATATCTGCAGATTTGCAGATGGCAGTAGCATATTGAAGGCAAAGCAAAGGCTCCTACGGGGGACGTGATTTTTACAAGTTTGCGAGTACTTTTAGCCAGAGTTCTAAAATGCATGTACAAAGCTTTTCCTTTCTTAAAATGAGATGTTCCATGGGCATATGGTGTCTAAACACGCAGAATGTAACATACTGTAATCACCATTGCACAGATCGATATAGAAATAACTATTTAGCTCACTCATGACCTTATTCTTCTTTTCCATCGTCATGTGCATGAACAAAGTCTCGTCTATCATTACATTGATTGAATCAGGTTCTATAATTTAGCAAGATTTTCTATTTATTCATTGGTAACGGAGACAAAATCTAGTGCACTTAAAGAGGTCAAAACTAGAGAGACTCTCTGATTTATACTTTATTTATATTAGGTTGGTAGATTTACACTTTTTCAAGAAAAGGGGTGGCACTTGTACCACTAATGTTAAGAGTTAGGAGAGGATTGGGATCTCAGTTCTCACTGATATCGGACTGTTAACAGTATGGACGCCGTCAGTCCAAGTCAGGCTCCCAAAATAGTACCCAGTAGTGACCCGGTGAGTCGACGAAACGGCTACGGTGAAGGAAATTGTATTGTTTGTGGCGTTGAAGGTCAATAGACGAGGCCGTACTGATATTCTAATGCCTTGAGGAGGCTTGACAACAGCCTTGTAACTAGAGTTAGCATGTCCAACATTTCTAACAGTTCTGGTTAGTTTGGTCGGCTTTGTAAGAGACGGTATGGTTATGGAAGGCAGATTTAAGTCCAGAACTGAGGGTCTTTTGGTTGGGCATGAGGTTGGATGTTCTCTGAGCTGGGAAATGGCAGAGTTGTTGTAGCCCATAGCACAGAGGTAATGGAGATAATCTTCTGTACCCATGTCATAAACAAGACCGGGGTCTGCTGCCCTGTTGAAGTTTACTATCCCGCCTCCGAAATCAAACGGATCTGCCAGCTTCATTGGCTCCCCTTCTGCAAATATCAGCTCGCCTGATGGATCCGTGTTCCATGCTGCAAATCATAATCGGAGTTGCATCGATACAGCGGTTTCATTTGAATTGTAAACATGGAACCAAAAGAAAATGAAAAAAAAGAGGACCTGTTGTGACAATGGCAGACTTGATAGCCGCAGGAGACCAGTCGGGGTGCAACGATTTCAGCAGCGCAACGATTCCAGACACATGAGGAGCCGCCATGGATGTTCCGGACATGAATGCAAATGCACTGTTTGCTTTTGGGTCAGATGGAGAGACTGCTGACAATATGTTCACACCTGGTGCTGCTATATCTGGCTGTCTCATACGAACAAAGCGGAAACGAGTGAACTAGAGCTATAAATAAAAGCAATCTCCTTTTTAAGGCAAAAATTATTTGTGGTACAGTGCAATTTTATATCGTATTATGATATGATTAGACGGTTCAAAACTACGCAATCCTGATAGCATTTTTTTTTTTTTTTTTTTCACTACAGCAGAATTCTCCTTTTTCTAGAGAAGTTAATAATACCTTCAACACTCCCGGGGCAACATAACTAGGCCCTCGAGAAGAGAAATATGCAAGTTTGGTGGACACGGGTCTGCCATCATGCGTTTTTGTAGGGCTAATCCTCACTTTTGGAGACCTGCAACGTTAATTAACGTGCATGAAATTTGATTCCACATAAACATAATAGTACCATCACCACCAAATTGTGTGTGTAAAATAAACAAAGATCACAGACGTTACCTAGAGGAACGGATATAGTAGAGAATCTTCATGCCAATGTCATAGCTGACTTGAACACAGGGAAAGTCGTCGTCGCACACATACAACGATCGAGTCGGATTTTCAGCGACGATGAGGCCAAGAGCGCCGGCCTTTCTAATGGAAGACGCAGACTCCTCCACCGAACCCTCCCGGAACGCTGTTGTGAAGCAGAGCACCACGGTTTTCTTCGCCCATGTATCTTCTTCCGTCAGAGATTTGCAATCACTGTACACCATACCAAGTCACATATACATTATTATATGAGCTGTAATATTGGACATCACTCAGCATGTGTTTCACATGCATGCATGTATAAGATCTAGATGTAAAGTTTTCTGTAGATAATCATATATAAATAGTACACTAACCAAGGATATTTGAGATCAGAAACCTCAGGATATGCCAACTTGATGAACCCTGTATCGCTTCCTGTAAACATGGCTTGACCCTACATTTTACTTATTAATATGATTACAAATATCTTATCTTTTTTACATATATAAACAGCATGAAAATTAAGGAACTAAACACTTCCATTTTTCTCACTCTCTCACAATTAATCTCCTTAAGTTCATGTAGTATAAATCATATCTTAAAGATGGGACTTCTAATTAGCTTAGAATTATTTATTCAAATCCTTTTCATCATTACTCGAAAACAAATTATTACTATTCTTCTTCTTCTTCTATGCATGGAGAGTTTTATGCGCTTATAACATCTTTCTTACTCTCTAATCTTTGAGTTAATTTAGATGCAGCCTAACTAAGGACGGAGCTACATTGGCTCTCTGCCCCCACTCATTTTTTTTATCTATTTAATTTTCACTTATAATTTTATATAATTTTATAAATGTGCTTCCATCAAAATATATATTCTATATGTAATCATGTTTTTTTTTTTTTAACATATCCCACTATTTTAAGTTATTTAATTAGTTTTCTTACTTAATCTCCTAGATAACCATTATTCTTTTGGTTGAATAATCTTAGACAATATTTAATCTCTTTTTTATTATCCACTTTTTTCTTCCACGTTTTTATAAAAAGCTTTGTTTGATTTTGAATTAAAATTATTTTAACAAAATAAGTTTATGTTGATTAAGTCCCCATTTATTTCACTAATTTGAGTTTTGCTACAGTAAAAAATTCTCAAAAACAGTCACATTTAATTTTTTTACTACAGCAAAAAGCTCTCACATAAAGTCACATCTCAACTCAAATTAAAAACTCGAATCAGCGAACTAAACGGGCCATAATTATGTGCGAATTTTACTTTCTAATCTTAGGGATTAGCTTTAATTTGTGTATTTATAATTTATTTCTTAAAAAAATTGTCAATAACTATAAAGAAAATAAAATAAAAAATGATGAGAAATAAAAAAAAAATGCTTGTGAGTGCGCCACTGAAATAAAAACCTAGCTCCGTTCTTGAGCCTAACAATTTCACAAAGATGATATTTTTTTTCTATTTTCTGTGCCAGAAAGGTGAAACTTTTAACTAGTTTATATCGATTAAAATCTACATCTTTTTTTTTCAAATATTTTGAAATTTTCATGACAAATAATGTTTTCTTCTTCTTTTCCCTTGCATGAAGAATCTTCTGCACAGATGGAGTTTAAACGTCGCCTTATCATTTTTTCGCAAAAGATGAAACTTTTACTTGTTTTAGATTGATTAGATTTTTTTTTTTTTTTTACTTCTTCTTCCATGCATGAAGATTGAAGACAGAATATTCTCTTACTGCAATGGTCCAGTTGTTCCCAAGCTTGACGCGAGTAGGGAAGGAACGGTCATCGCTACTCGCTCCGACGGTCAAGATCCACGGCGACGTGTTCTGCACCGTCTGCGGACTCGGCCCCGAGTTCCCCGCCGCGCATACGACTGCTACGCCCTTCGCCACCGCGTGGAACGCCCCGACGGCGATCGCGTTCCTCTGGTCCGCCTCCGGATACGAAGGCACGTCGGCGGCGATCGAAACCGACACGACTTCGACGCCGTCACGCACCGACACGTCGAACGCCTTGAGTATGTCGGCGCCGGCGCACAATCCGCCGCCAAACACGCTCCAGCAAACCTTGTACATCGCGATCCGCGCCTGCGTTGCGCCTCCCCTCACCGTCCCGACGCCCAATCCGTTGTAGCTCCTGTCCGCCACCGACGATCCGGCTGCGATCGTCGACG